TGCTTAACCACGTAATTTTCCCTTCTAAAATCTGGATCATGCACCCGGTCCAATGCATTTTTATCTAGGATAGTTTCAAATAGAAGAACTTACCAAAAATGACTATAATCTAGGCTTAATTAGATATTTATAGTTATAGTTTGCTTAATTACAAATCACAACTACATGTTTGGGGAAAGAGAGAGGTGAGCGAGACTAGGAAAGAGAGGAGAGATATGAGCGAGATCTGAGAGAGAGGTTGGATACATGTTGTATTCATTGTATCAGGTTGTATCATGAATACAATTAATACAACCCATTTGTATCATTGAATACAATTGTATCAAAAATTATTGTACTTAACTACATATTAAGAGAGAGAAAAACGAGAGAGGGAGGAGAGAGGCAAGCGAGGTCGATAGAGGGAGGGGAGAGGATGAATACATGTTGTATTTGTTGTATCAAATTGTATCATGAATACAATTGATACGGATTTCAAATACAGTTGATACAAACAAAAATAGTTGTTTATTTTCGTTGAAATACAATTGATACAAAATACATTTGACAGAGAGGATAAATGCATATTGTATTTGTTGTATCAAGTTTTATCATATTACAATTGATTTGTATCATATATCAAATATAATTGTAATAATGAAAACAACTTGTATTGACGAATACAATTAACATAATACAAATTCTCATAATAAAATTAATACATAATACAAATATAGTTGATATGAAATATAAATACATTTGATACATAATACAAATGTCATATTATGTGAAATATTTTTCGGGTTACAACGTTGTTTGAATGGAGAGAGAGAGAGAGGGAGGGAGGGCAGTGAGAGGAGAGGGAATTTTGCTATAAATCGTACTTATAGCTATAAATTGTAATTATTTTAAACTATAGTTGTATATTGTAAATACATATTATATGTTTGTCACGTTATGTAACTTTCTCTAACTTTTAAAGATGACTATAGTTTAGGCTTAATTAGAGATCTATAGCTATAATTTGCTTAATTACGAATCATAGCTACATGTTTGGGGAGGAAAAAGGCGAGCGAGACTAAGAGAGGGAGGAGAAAGGTGAGCGAGATCGGAGAGAGCGAGGTTGAATACATGAAGTATTTGTTGTGTCAGGTTGTATCACTAATACAATTGATACAACTGATTTGTATCAATGAATACAAATGTATCAAAAACTATTGTATTTAGCTACATAGTAGGAGAAAGGCGAGCGAGATCGAGAGAAGGAGGAGGGAGAATGAATACTTGTTTTATTCGTTGTATTAAATTGTATCACAAATGCAATTGATACAAAATACAAATATTATTGATACAAACAAAAATAATTGTCTATATTCGTTGAAATATAATTGATACATAATACATTTGATAGAGAGGATGAATGCACATTGTATTCGTTGTATCAAATTTAATTTTATCACAATTATAATTGATACCAATGATTTGTATCATATATCAAATATAATTGTATTAATGAATACAATTTGTATCGATCAATACAATTGACATAATATAAATTCTCATAATAAAATTGATAAAAATACAAATATAGTGGATACATAATACAATTACAATTGATATAGAATATAAATATATTTGTTAATAATACAAATGTCATATTATGTGGAATATTTTTTGGGTTGAATGTTGTTTGGGATGGAGAGAGAGGCGAGACGAAGAGAGAGAGAGGGGGAGGGGGGTTGGGGGGGGGGGGGGGGGGCAATGTGAGGAGAGTGGGAAAGAGAAGAGATAAATTTGTTATAAAATCCTACCTATAGCTATAAAATGTAATCATTTTAAACTATAATTGTATATTGTAGATACACATCATATGTTTGTCATATTATGTGACTTTTCCTATGTATAGAAAAAATAGCCAAATGCCCCCCAACCTATTAGTCAATTTTCAATTACACACTTGTACTTCACGGGGGTCCTATTACTCTCCTGAATTTTTATTTTCGATATTTTGTGACCCTTACACTCTACCTATCTAAGAAGGTGAATACACCTCTTGTAGGCGCGTAAGAGTTCAACAAAAAGACATAAAATGACTAAAATTGAATTAAATAGTCCATGTGGGAGTCTCTCATTGGAGATTATATAATTAATTCGGTTTTTTTTATCTTTCCCTTTTCTTATATCACAAAATTATTATACACATTTCATGATTTCTTCACGTTTTTCTCAAAGTCCTTCGATGGTGAACTTCTAAATTTCATCTCTAGGAGCTCCAAATCAGTTTGTAGCTACTGATTTATGCTTAGTTAATCATACATCAACCCTTTTTAGCAACAACAATCACCTAATTCATAAGAAACTTTCATATATGAAACTCAAAAATGGAGTTTAAGTTTTTTCTTAAACCCCTCATAATTTCAGCAAAAAAAAAAGAAAAAAAAAAGTCAAACCACAATGAACCAACAATGGTGAATTTGAAATTTCACTTTCTAATTTCATTCTTACCAAATTTGTTTTTCACTCTCACATTTGTGAATACTTATTTGTGGATTTTTGTTTGTGGATTCGATTTCAAATTAAAGTTTATGTAGACTAGCTATGGAGTTGTTCTTCTTCTTTAATTTGGTGTAGATATTTTTTCCTTATTTTCTATTATTATTCTCTAAAGAAATCATTAGTATTTTGGAAAAACAATCTCTATTTGAAAGCAATTTTTGTAAATTTTAATTTTCAGGTTTGATAAAAATGGAAAGTTTATATAATTTTACAGGGCATTATTAAATTATTAGGTTTATTAGGTTTAAAATTTACAAGAAAAAAAGAAGAAAAAGGATTAAAAAAATGAATGTACAGTTATTCATCGCGTGTGCTACACAACTTTGACATAAAATTGGTTATGACTTTTTAGGGAGGTGATTATTCCATATTTAAATAGTTCAGGAGTAATAAGACCTTCGTATTGAATAAGTGTGTAGTTGAGAATTGAATCATAGGTTGAGGGGGCTTTTGGCTATTTTCTCCAAATGTATACAATAAAATGATAAAATAATTAGTTTGCAAAGAATATAGTCATGTTTCATTTACACAAAAGATTGCAAAAAATTTGAGTACGCATTGACTTTACAATATATATATCTTCCCAAAAGACGTAGAAAGTATATGTTGACTAAACAATATAGCTTACATATACATGAGTTATACACTGGTTATACATTATGATACACTCAAAAAGTTGAATATATCTTAACTATATGAAATATACATTGACTATTCAATATTGATCAACTCAAAATCACTTCTAAACAGTCTTGAATTTTATATATAGAATCTTCTCGATATTTCGAGTCTTTTGATGTATAGATCGCTTGAAATAATTCACGTTAATAGTATGTCATTTTTTCTTTAAAATGAAGGACAAAGAAGAAGAAGAAGAAGAAGAAGAAGAAGAAGAAACAAAATAAGGACCCCGTTTGGATTGACTTAAAAAAATAGCTTTTAAGTTAAAAATAAAAAGTCAAATTGAAATGACTTTTAAATCAAAAAATAAAAAGTAGGGGAGACCTACTTTTGATTTTTGACTTATTTTAAGTCATTTTTAACTTATGTTTAAGTCATTCTTTGACTTGCCAAAAACTTCCTAACTTATTTGAAGTCATTTTTTGACAAGTTATTTTATATTTACCAAACACTTCGAAAAATAAAAAACTGACTTAAAAATATATTTGACCAACTTTTAAATAAATCTAAACACCCTCTAAGAAGCAAAAGCAACATGGAGGACAAAGAAGTCGACGTGCTACGTCGGTCATTTTTTGGAGAAAAAAAAAGGGTAGAATGGTCATTTCTAGTAATATTTCAACGAGACAAATTAATAAAAAGAGCAAATAACCTTACAGTCCTTTTCTAAAGTGGTGGAAGTCTCAGCTAACTCCATATCTACAACAATATCATGAGAACTAATCATTAAAAAAATAGCCAAAAAAGGCGAAGATAGAAATTCCTTGGAACCCATTCTTTTTCTTTTTGTTTGTTCAAAGCTTAGTGCTTATTATAATTAAAAATTGAGGGATGAAGAAACTAATACATTCTTGGGGTCTATTTATAGTAAGATTTAGATGTTACGTGAAGAAATTTCTTCACATAACTCCAAATGAAATGAACAACCTAACAAGTGATTGGCTAATAAGAATTGAAGAATCCATTGGGTCTTGTTGTTGTTGTTGTTGTGTCATGTTATACATGTGAAATTATGTTGTTTGGTGTTAGTGACACATTGAAAATTTATTGTTGGTATATAAGAACTCTCGCTATAATAGTTATCATTTATAAACATTTTAGATAAATAATCAATAGTTTTTTGAAAACTATCTTTTTATGTTAGTTATATATATTAGTATTTCTTTTTGTAATAATATTTCATTATAACAGTAAAAAAATATTTGGACAAATGGCATTTATCTGTTTAGTTTCATTTACCAACAATTCCAACACAAACTAGAAAATCATGAAGATGCACTTATAATCTCTTGCCTTTTTCATTTTAAAGTAGCTTGTAATTCGTCTCAAAGATATGTCTCGCTTTTCATTTTTTCGAAAGCCAATTTAATTAATCTATAAAATCAAATTAGATAAAATCAACTTAATAAAATAAAATTAAAAGAGCTCGAGAAGTGAAAACAATAAATAATTAGTGATTGAGGAGTAGTTTAATAATAAGTTGTGAAATAAGAAAAAACATGTGTGCATCATCAAGACATCAACAACAATATATTCAATATAATTCAGAAAAAGAAGAAATGTACATTATGAAAATATATTATCACAATATAGTGTTATATTGTACAACAAAATATTATATGAACAACCATACATATATATGAACTGAATGTCGTTTTATTCATGCGATTTTTATAGCAAGGTTTAGAGTAGCAAGACTATTACTATATTATACATCTTGCCACTACATACAAAGGTTTTATAATAACATGATGATTTTTGTTGTGAGGCAATTGGCTAGTCACTTACTCATGGCCACCATTTGGAGGGTTGTATCCACCACTTGGAGGTTTGTATTCGTCATTAGGGGGTTTATATTTGTCATGTGGGGGATTATATTTGCCACCTGGAGATTTGTATTCATCACTAGGGGATTTATATTTGTCATGTGGAGGGTTATATTTGTCACCTGGAGATTTGTATTCGTCACTAGGGGATTTATATTTGTCATGTGGGGAGTTATACTTGTTACCTGGAGATTTGTATTCATCACTAGGGGGTTTGTATTTGTCATGTGGGGGGTTATATTTGTCACCTGGAGGTTTGTATTCGTTACTAGGGGGTTTATATTTGTCATGTGGAGGGTTATATTTGTCACCTGGAGGTTTGTATTCATAACTAGGAGGTTTATATTTGTCATGTGGAGGGTTATATTTGCCACTTGGAGGTTTGTATTTGTCACTAGGGGATTTGTATTTGTCATGTGGGGGGTTATATTTGTCACTTGGAGGTTTGTACTCGTCACTAGGGGGTTTATATTTATCATGTGGGGGGTTATACTTGTCACCTGGAGGGTTGTATTCGTTACTAGGGGGTTTATATTTGTCACCTGGAGGTTTGGATTCGTCACTAGGGGGTTTATATTTGTCATGTGGGGGGTTATATTTGTCACCTGGAGGTTTGTATTCATCACTAGGAGGTTTATATTTATCATGTGGGGGGTTATACTTGTCACCTGGAGGTTTGTATTCGTTAGTAGGGGGTTTATGTTTGTCACCCGGAGGTTTGTATTCGTCACTAGGGGATTTATATTTGTCATGTGGGGGGTTATATTTGTCACCTGGAGGTTTGTATTCATCACTAGGAGGTTTATATTTGTCACTTGGAGGTTTGTACTCATCACTAGGGGATTTATATTTATCATGTGGGGGGTTATACTTGTCACCTGGAGATTTGTATTCGTTACTAGGGGGTTTATATTTGTCACCTGGAGGTTTGTATTCGTCACTAGGGGGGTTATATTTATCATGTGGGGGATTATATTTGTCACCTGGAGGTTTGTATTCATCACTAGGAGGTTTATATTTGTCATGTGGAGGGTTATATTTGCCACTTGGAGGTTTATACTCGTTACTAGGAGGTTTATATTCACCACTTGGAGGTTTGTATTCGCCACTCGGAGGTTTATATTTGTCATGTGGAGAATTGTATTCGCCACTTGGAGGGTTATATCCCTCGTGTGGAGGTTTATTTCCACCACCTCGAGGCTTATATCCACTATTGTATTCACCATGTCCATCACCAAAATATCCACCAATGCCATTATATCCATCGTGGTGTTCATCATTTTTGTCATCCAATTTCATTACTACAACTATCAAATGTGAAATTCATAAATTAGCATAACATTTCATATATGTCAAATAATTATATAAGAAAGCCAATATTTCAAAGAGATAACTAATAAAAGGAAAAAAAACAGAATAATAAACTTACAGGTCTCGGAGCTTATCATTGCAAAAATAGCCAAAAAAATGCCAAGAAATAGAAAAGCCTTGGAACCCATCATTTTTCTTCTTCTTTAAAGCTTAATTATATTAATTGAAGGATGAAGAAATTGAAGCAACATTGGGTTATATTTATACTAAGAATTCAATGTATTAGAAATTGATAAAGGGTCACTTATCACTTATCTTGCTCAATTGTCACGCCACATAATTAATTATATTTCCTCCGTTTTGATTTATTTTTAAAAAAATTAATTCGTTTAAGAAAGGAACGTAGTATAAGACCACCAACGTTGGTTGTGGTGCATTGGTGGGAGTGCTTCACCCTTAACCAGAGGTCTTGGGTTTGAGCGTTGGGTATGGAGAAAATCCTGTTGGGACCGTCACCCCCCGAATGGACCCTGCAGTGCACGATCCGCATTTAGTTGGAGCTCCAATGTGGGCTTCGAACACCGGGGGAAACAAAAAAAGTATAGGACCACAATGTTTATCCGCATTTGTGATGTACACTAAATAAAACAATTTTTTTTATAGTTAAAATATAAAATAAGCATATATTGTTTAATTATTATTAAAAACAAATATTTCAATAAACACATATTTTATCTTTTCTCTTGTGATGGGAGTAAATCTCAAACAAAAAATGAAATGTTTTTGTTAAATAATCTTAATACTTAATTAAAATCTGTAAGAGTAATAAATAACTAAGAAATATTATTATATTTATTATAATGCAAATTTGTACATATTTTTTTACGTAATTTATTTTTCTTAAGCTCTTTTTTTTAGGGGGTGGGGGATTTGAATAAACGCAAACTACTTCTCTATTACTAATAAAAGAGTTTCTTAAGTCTTACTTAAACACAAATTGCTATAACCATTCAAAGAACTTTTCAAAAACACGTTTGGAAAATTAAAATAGGTAATTAAAAGTTTTCCCAAATAGGTTTTAATTGCTCAGAAAATCTTTATTGCTTTAGTTTTCTACTTCATATATTTGAAGTATTGCCATCATTTTTTGTGGTAGGTGATCGATAAGTACCTTCAATATTTAATTATACGTTTTTAAATTCAAAATATTTGAGATAAGGTTTTTGATAGGGAACTCTTTAACCCTAAAGTGAAACATTTCTTTTAGAGGCAAAAGTATAGTTGAGACGTCGGACTTATCTGAACCTAATACTTTAGAAGCATCAACAAATTTTATAAATATTAATTTATTTAAATTGCAACAAATGATATATCTGAATTCATAACTTTAAAAATACAATTAGCTCAATGCTAAGAACCTTAACCGTTAAAGTACTCATAAAGTTTCAATCTCAAATTTGTCTCTATTTTTTTGTGTTAATTTGAATCAATCCATATTTATGGTGAATCATTTACTTAAATTAGTTCATATAACACATCAAAATGACCAAGTCGCTAACGTACATCGACCTCCAGATTAACCAATCTATAAACATAGATCTATAGTAATTATCAAACGACATTAAAGACTCGTTTGGATATGCAATATAGAATCATAAGTTCAAATCAGATTGATTTGAAGTCAAAGTTTTTTGTTTGGATATGCAATTTGAATATCTTAAATTGTATTTTTTTTCCTGATAAACATGAAACCCTACGAGTTGTGAGAACTATCAAATACTATTATTTTCATACTATTAATCCGTTTTAAAAGAATGATATATTTTTATGATAGGCGATTTTCCACCTCAGAGTCGATATTGATAAATGATAAGAGAAGTGTCGTCAATTTAACAATGTAACATCAAGTCATATCATATGATTAATTGTTATTAATATAAATATAACAAATCAGAAGGAAAATTTGTGTTATGAACTCAACCACGAGAGGTTGTCTATGAAATTATCTCTCAAAGGATAATTAACTCGAAATACCTTTAGGGTGTGTTTGGTATGAAGGACAAAATGTTTTTCAATTTTCTCATATTTTGTTGCCTTAAATGTTTTTCAAATCAACTCATTTTCCTCAAATTTAAGGAAAATAACTTCCCTTCAAAAATTAAGAAAAACATTTTCCAAAACTCTATCTCACCCTTCAATATTTTTTTCTTACCCTAACCCGTACCACGTACCCGACCCCATCCAAAAAATAAATTTTTTTAAAATTTCAAATATTTTTTACCCCTACCCCCAAACCAGCCAAACCTTCCCCAACCAAAAAAAAAATAAGAATTTAAAAATTATTTTTAAAAAATATTTCAAAATTTTAAGATTTTTTTTATCTCATCCAACCACCCCTGCTTCCCCCCCCCCCCCCCCCCCCCCCGCAACAAAAAAAATTGTCTTGCAAAAATATTTCAAAATTTTAAATTTTCATGTTTTACTCCACCCTATACCCTCACCCCCACCCCCCGAAAAATATTTCAGATTTTAAAAAAAAAAAATTACGCCCCCCCCCCCTCCCAGGGCCATCCCACTCTCACCCAAGCCACCCCCATAAATTATTTTTTTAAAAAAAATATTTCAAATTTAAATAATTTCATTTTTTACGCCACCCCACACCCCCAGGCCATCCCCATCAATTTTTTTATATAAAAATTATTTTTGGAAAATATTTCAAATTTATCATCGGGGTCTTGTCCTAGTTCGGGTGTCAGAGTCAGTAACTAGATCAATTATCGGGGTTGATATTTGAACAATAGATTATTTCCTTAAGAGTATTTTCCGGTCTAAAGCCAAAAATAAAAGATATTTTTCATTCACCAACCAAACATTAAATAATATTTTTCAGAAAATATTTTCTACTCACCAACCAAACATGAGAAAATAAATTAGAAATTCACTTGTTTTCCAAGGACACATTTTCCTTCATACCAAACACACCCTAAGTCTTATGTTTTTAACGAAAATAAAATTTAGAGACTTTTCTTTAGGTTTAAATTTGTTTGCATGGGTTAATGAGGATCTAGAAATCTGATTACTGATTTGCATGAACTTGAAGTTGTTGTAGAAATTCATAAATTTTAAGTCCAAAATTTGTCTATAATGATTTGGATATTTTCGTGGGGTACTGAGGAACTAATAATGGGCTTTAATTTTATTCATACTTCTTATTATAATAAATATAAGTAAGGTCTAAAATTGAAAGTCTATTACATCTTGCCAATTAATTATGATAGGGGTGGAGTTGGGATTTGTATTTACGAGATCTTAATTAATTATTTATATATATTAACTAGTAAATTTGTTCGCGCTTCGCGCGATGTGAATTGCATTTTATAAATTTGTTATTAACTGAAAAGTCAATTTATAATTATAGTTTCTTTTTAAAAAAAAACACTTTAAATGTTATAAACTATATTAAAATAAATGCTCCTATTTGATTTGATTTTCATTCAACAATTAAAATTATGTTCAATAAATTTTTAATATGTTAGCTTTCATATAAAATGTGGCTTACAATAATATTTGAATTTGACTTAGTGGAATGAACAAAAAATTAAAGGTACTTTAGATAAGTCGAAAATATTACAAATTTATAAATGATAACAATTTCTCAAACTTTTATCACTTGTTAATAAATCTTCTCAAATGGTAAATGATGTGTCAATCGTGTTCATTATCTTAGTATACTAAAAGTATATAAATAATAATATGGTTATATATGTTATATGAAGTAAAAAATAAATATATTTAGACTTTTTGTTTGTTGTTCTGTTTTCCTTTCTGTTTTCACCGTTAACATATTAATTGTTAGTATAAGTTCTTATTAGTGTCAACATAATATAAATTGCATACACATTCTTATTGTTAAAATTAAATGATATGTAAATAACTATTTTAATAACTACGATAATTTAATGTGAGTTATGACTATTACTAATTAAGAGTGAAAATAATGAAGATGGAGAAGTGTGAATTTTGAGAAATATGACTTTTTTTAAAAAATAAAAAATAAAAAAGGAGGATAAAATTCTTGATGAAAGAGAAATGTTACTTATTATTTTCCTTGTTATTTCTCAACTTTTTAAATATCTCTCATATTTTAAAAGCTAAAAACATCAAACATTAATAAGTAATACCATCATCTTCCTTGTTCAATAAGTATATTTTTGATTTATTTGTTGGGTCTCAAGTAACCCTAGTTACACTATTCTAAAATTTTAATTTATCCAAATCTTTTTTTTTTTCAATTTCAAAAGGATCTATAATTTAATTTATCTTAATTAAATTATGCATATATAACTTCGATTTTAAATTAAATTTTGAGTATTTGAGAGGTATTACTTATTATTTCCCAATTTTATAAATATATTTCATATTTTAAAAGCTAAAAGCATCAAATATTAATACCATCCTCTTTTATAAGTATAATTTTGATTTATTTGTTGTGGCTCAAGTAACCCTAGTTAAAGTATTCTAAAATTTTAATTCATCCAAATATTTTTTCAGTTTCAAAAGGATTTATATCTAATTTATCTTAATTAAATTATGCATTTATAACTCCAATTTTAAAATAAATTTGGATATTTGTAAAAAAAAAAAAACCTAATAACATTTTTCTCCTTATTTCCTTATTATATTATTGTTAGAATGACTATCCTAGGTAAAATAAAATATGTCTTACTAATTATATCCTTTTTTGGGATATTAATTCAATTCTCCTTTCCTTTTTGATTATTTTATCCAGAATCTCTAAAATCATGTTTCAAAAATCAATTTCTCCTATCACTATGATAACTCCATTAGGTCTCTATAAATTCAACAAAAAAAGATAAAGAAAATCAATTGATTTATACTACACCAAGAGTTCTTATATTAAAGAAATCTCTCTTGTCAAAGAGAAGAAAACTTTGTCAAAACTAAAAAATTTATATGAAGTGTGAGGAGCTTCAAGAATATTCTTTAAGATTTGATTTTTATTCATATATCATTTGTTTTGGGATGAAAGAAATAATTATATTTTTTTAATATGTTACTTATTTTGGGAGCATTTAGAAATCGTATAAGGAGAGGTTTTGTTTGTGAATAATAATAATATTAATAATAATAATAATAATAATAATAATAATAATAATAATAATAATAATAA